ATGAAAATAACCTTCTTGATGTAAAGAAATTCTTACTTTTTTTGAACAAGCTGTAACAAAAGCAGTCAAACTTTGATACCTGCGTGTTGGTTCCTTCAAATGGCTATATCTACATTGAGGAAATTAAGGAAATCCTCATACTTTAAGTACTTGCTCTGCTCCACTGGCTCTAGACCAGTAAATCTCAATCTGGGTGCCACCAGATCCTCTGAAGGGCACCTTGAAATGTAAGGCTCAGACTTATCCCTGCCTGAACAGTCCCCATCCCCATGGCCCATCCCCTCTGGAAGAAGGTAAGCACTGTAATATATAAATCAGCTTTTGAAATTGGGTTCCACTCAGTTCTCAAGTTATGGAGAGGTGCCCTAAGTCCAATGAGGGGTTCCACAAGTTCAGAAAGGCTGAGAACCACTCCTCTAAACCAATTCTAGAAAACATGGTGGATTCAAAAAACACAAAACCACACAGGTTCCTGTTATTGTTAGCAAACTGATTATCCCGGTTTCTCTACTGAGCTTTCTCCTTTCTTCTCCTAACAGGAAAGTATTGTCTTCCTGTGGTTCTTACCTGTTTCCCCTACCAAGGTGGTCATTTAACTAAAGGCTTGCTGCATTTTGCAGGGCTTATAATATAGGTGGACACTATTTGTAACAAGTGAAAAATTCCCCAATAAAAGTATGCAAATACTTAAGTCCCTACAACATACTGATTCAAATTCATTTTGAGCTCTAAATTAAGGGTTTTTGTTTTAATGATAAGCAGCTATCCTGGTTAAATGATAAGCAGGGATCTCCAATTTAAAAAAATTCCCAATTTTCACTTATATATGTGGCGTTTCACTTAAATCATAGAAAAATGTGGATTTGGGGTTACTTTTGTTAACTGATTTTTTTTTTAATCAGAGAAAGCTAGGATCCCTGATGATAAGTTTACCCCAAACTGCGACCACTTCATTTTAAAACCCTCATCTCTTATAAACACTTTGCTGAATTTACTTGATACATGATTCAGGAAAATTCTAGCCTAATGGTTCATTATATAACTATCCTTAAACCTTGTTCAACACAAGCATGAAACCACACCCCACCGGATCTGAAGCCATTCATAGGACACTGGTGGTGAATTAACCTTCAGCAAACTAGATGGCAAGATGGTGTTTATAACTGGTAGTTGCAGCCTTAAAACATAGAAAAAAGCTTTCATCTTTGTAATATTTCCATAAAAGTGATTTGTATTCAGATGATATATTCATATGAAATAATGAAAACATATAAACATAATCCAATCCTGATTTATCAAAAAAATTAAGAGAACTGAGGATTCATCATTTATTAAGTTCTCAGTTTAACATATACAAATTAGAATATCAATTGTGTTGTTTATATTTATGTAGTTCTTTTTCAATTAGCTTGCTGACCGCTTTTTCTTAAACACTTACTATACATCTGTTGCTAATTTATCTAATAAAAAGTTCATGAGCCTATGCCAGAGATGTGGGGTGGAAAATTTTCCAATTCAAAATTTTCCAGAAAACCCGTATCTCTGCCCTATGCAATGCATTCAGAATGGGGTTCATCTCCCAGAACTGAAGCACAGAGATCAATATGTAAGCTAACGCCACTCCAAATATAGTGCTATCCATCTCCATAAAAGGTCTGCTTCAAGTATCACGTCAAGAGCAAAAGATGCTACTTGGGCATTCATGACTATCAGTCATACTAGACTTCTACTGCAGGCTAAAAATTAATAGCAGCGAAACTGTGCTCTGAAAGGCCCGAATTCTGCAAAGACTGGCTTACGTAAGATCCCCACTGAAGTAAAAAAGCTACTCCCAGAAGTTACATAAACAGTTCTTTGTAGTCTACTAAGACTTGTGTTTTTTACATCACAAACAGTAAAAATAAGCTTTACAAATGCGAAACTGGAGGAACTTAAGAATCCAGCCACCAGAGCTAGACTGTTAAAACTATTAGTTGACACACTACAGCATTTCTATAACACAGAGAATCATGCCCACAGTACTTTAAGAATTTAGCTACCACCTTAACCTTACAGGATATCTTTGCTGTGGTGCCGACAAACCTACAGCACTATCATGCAGTGATCGTGCAGCTTCTGTGACATCTGTGACTACTGAGGTATGCAAACAGCTTTTGTTCTTACCTCACCCTCCCACTCCACCTGTATGTTTATTCTTCTGTTTAGGTTTCAGCTGATGTGCTATTGTTATCTTTCTGGGTCAGGGGCTATTTCTGCGCTGGTTATTATCTAAGTCCCCTAATCGCTTTGTAGATCTTAAAGCAATACAACAATGGGTTTGTTATAGTCCTGTGTATTTATATACACCTAGGTGAAGTGGATTTAAAATGCTACCCTTCTTGTTTGGTAGCATTTCACACTCGCATTGTTGTATATAGTGATTGTACAAAAGAGCAAGGTAGTGGACAGTCACACCCTATATAATGAATGCATACATGGAAAATAAAGTAATTTATATCAGGTGAGTAAAATTTAAAAGGGTGGTATGACAGTCAGACAGTTTTTCAGCTGTTCTTCAAGACCAACTCTGCTATTAGTCTAGTTCAGTAGCCACCTGAGGCACAACATAAGCGTGACTATGATTCTGAAGAAATATTAGAGGAAACCCAGCACTTTATCAGTGCATACACTTCAGTGAACATCTGTATGGTCAAGCTAGATGCACTAGTTGATTTGGAACAGAATGACTCATTATATAGACTGTGGTTCTCACCCATGACACTGCATGCAGCTATCACAATTTCTTGAGATTAATTTTAGCGTCCAAATAAGGTTACAATCTAACCACAGGAAATGAAGATTTAAACTATGAGGAAACACTGGATGTAACCAAAGCATTTGCTTTGAGAAGCATGTATGAATCCATCCAAAAGGCACTTAAATTATGAAGGATGTGGAAAAGTTGAACAGATTATATATAGGTAACTGTCTATATATACATATAAGCATGTTCTCATACGTTTGACTCATATACCTATATCAATATAGCTATATATATATACACGTCTATATATGAGGACTATATATATATTTCCCGCTATATTAATATATATACGTGTGTGTATACATAAGCATATTCTCATGCGTCCAACTATACAGATATCTATATACAAGCATGTTCTCACATTTTGACTATAAATGTAGTTATATATATCCATCTGCATGATATCTATCTATATCTGTATATTGTCAGACATGTGAGAACATGTTTATAGAGAGAAGGAAAGAGGGAGTGCTACAACTATATACATGTTTATAATATACAAAGTTCTTTTTCTGTTATTTCTGGGACTTGCTGTTCTCATGTGTTTGATTATATCTATGGTCAAACACATGGGAACAAGTCTCATAAGTAACAGAAAAAGAAGCAGAAGGCAAAGTAGAATAGCACTTTATAGATTAATTCAGTCAGGGGTGCATAAGAAAAGAACTAGAGAAAAGGTTCAACCTAATGAGAAATATTTAACATGTAATTGTTAAATATTTCTCATTAGGTTGAACCTTTTCACCACTGTAAAGTGTAGGGGAACAAATACACCAAGAAGGAAAAAAAACAACACTGAGTCAAGAGAAGAAAAGGCAACCTGGGTGAGAAGCTTATGATGAGTAGCATACTATACACATCTAAGACTATGGTATGATAGGTCTCCTCCTGGCTGGCAGGAAGACTGGTACAAAATCAGAAAAAAAGGAGAGAAAAACAAGTTGCCATCACCCCAGTGAGAAGCATCCCCAAGGTGATCTCCCTGTCCACTGCATCACAGTTCTGCCTCAGCAGCACCTCAGATATAGCAGGGTCCTTACTGCTCAAAGAGGGTCAAAGGAATCCCTGGAGATACCAGTCCTGGCAGGGAAACGCCCTTCTAGAAATGGGTGTACTGGACATGGGGGCTTACTTCACCCTAAAGTGAAGCAGTGTTTTTAAAAACCCATTTCTTCAATTTAGGGTGAAGTAAACCCCTGTTTCATCTATACATTCCCTATGTGCCTGGACCGCTCCTTTTAAAAAAAAAAAAAAAAAAAGGAATTTAAGCCAAATCAAGTCCAAATCCATGAATCAGTCCAGAACCATAGGTGGCCCTACAACAGGCAAACATCCTCCACCCCCATCAGGGCCTTCAGATATTTCCAAAGTCTTTTGACGAGCATCCTACATGCAGGCCCAAGCCTGGAGGCTTGGGATTCATACGCCCCCAAGTTTCACTTGCCCTCAGCCATACTGCCGCAGGAGCAAGCTAGGCAGAAGCCTCCCATTTCCATAAAATGGGCATTAAGCCCCAACACCTTGGCGGTCACCAAACCAGGCCAGAAGAACACTTATTATCCCCAGGCTTAAGGAAAACTGCTTTCTTGGACCCAGGTACATGGTGTTTCTCCAGACCTCTCCTGGCCAAGCCCCTCTCGGAGAAGCCAGGAAGAGCCGCGCCTACAACTGGGGACCGGCTCTCCCAGCAGCTCAGCCACAGGCACCTGGAGCAGGTTGTGGCCTCCAGGCCCCGTCTCCAGGCCGCAGCCGGAAGCGGGGAGCAGCGGGAGCCCAGGCAGGGGCCCGGCCCGGCCGGCCCTCCATGCCTGCTTGGCCCCCCGCTGGCAGGGCGCTGCACCTTTTACGGCTGGACGCGCTCCCTCCGACTTCGTTGCCCAGCCTCAGCCACTGGGTTTTTCCATTCGGCTCGAGCCCGCCCCGCCCCGGGAGGACAAGCGTCGCGGGCCCATCGCGCTCAGCCAGGCCAGAGGCGGCGACGGCAGGGGGGGCCGGGACACCCCGGCGGGCGGGGGGGGAGCCTCTGCGGCACCTTTGTTGACAGCGGGAGGCTGCGGAAGTGGCGCAGGCGGAGCCGGCCGCATCCAGGCTGCAACAACGGGCCGGCCCCACGCATCCCGCCCGCGCCCTGGGGCCGGGGCCACCCGCTTTGGAAGCGGGGGAGAAGTGAGGCCCGCGGGGCGGCAGCGCGACTCACCTGGCCAGAGGAGCCGGCTGCGGAGGCGGAGGCGGAGGCAGCCCCTCCCCTCACCCAGCGCCACGGCCGGGAGCGCTCCGCCACCTGCGGCCGAGGGCAGCGCGCACCATCGCCTGCTGCGCCGG